ATGGTTTATTTATTTCTCAGCGACAGTATGCTGTTGACTTATTATGGCGAGCCGGTATGTCGGTGTGTCATCCAACTTCAACCCCAGTTGATGCTCAATGTAAACTGTCTGCTACAGATGGAGCTCCCGTTTCTGATCCTACGGAGTACATGAGTCTAGCTGGTGCTCTTCAGTATCTTACTCTCACGCGGCTTGAGATAGCTTATGCAGTTCAGCAGGTATGCTTGTTTATGCATGATCCTCGTGAGCCTCATCTTGCTCTTGTTAAAAGGATTTTGCGTTACATCAAGGGTACTCTACACACTGGTCTTCACATCGGCGCTACACCCGTTGACTCTCTGACCGCTTATTCTGATGCTGACTGGGCGGGTTGTCCTGATTCTCGTCATTCCACATCAGGATATTGTGTTTTCCTGGGTGACAACTTGATCTCATGGTCTTCTAAGCGTCAGACCATTGTCTCTCACTCTACTGCTGAAGCTGAGTATCGTGTTGTCGCACATGCTGTTGCCAAATGTTGCTGGCTTCGACAACTTCTTGAACTACATATTCCTCTTGCTTCGGCTAACTGTCGTTTATTGCGACAATGTTAATGCTTTCTATATGACTGCTAATCCAGTTCATCATCGTCGAATGAAGCATATTGAGATTGATATTCATTTTGTTCGAGAGAAGGTTGCTTTGGGACAAGTTCGTATTTTACATGTTCCGTCCTCCAATCAGTTTGCTGATATCATGACCAAAGGCTTGCCAGTTCAGTTACTCACTAAGTTTAGGTCCAGTCTTTGCGTTCGTGATACATCTCCCGCTTCGTCTGCGGGGCGAGTATTAGAGTTAGATTATATTTGTATAGTATAAATATCATTTATATTTGTACATGACTCTTATTTAAGAGTTTGTTGTAATCTTTATTGTATTGGATATATAAATACAGTCGCCCCATAACCATGTTGGGTTGTGAGGCGTCTCATAATTCTCTACACGCTCCTTGCAAGCTTACTATCTTCGAGTAATACTTGAAATTGCAAATGGCATCTTGCATCATCTCACTAGCTTAGAAGGCCTAATTGAATCAGCCTTTAGGTAAGACGTTCGATCGAGAGGCAGTGACACACACCAAAGCCTCTGTTTGGAACAAGGGAATAAAATCGAATTTTCGCCACCAAAATTCCTCCATCACAAACATGACTAAATTTGTGAGTGCTGATTTCTGAGAAAACATGTGGTAACATTCTTAATAGATTATTCGTGAACACGAGGATTTGAAATAACAAGCAATATACTCCCTCCTTCCCTAAATATTTGACGCCGTTGACTTTTTTAAACATGTTTGACCGTTCGTCTTATTAAAAACTTTTGTGAAATATGTAAAACTATATGTATACATAAAAGTATATTTAACAATAAATCAAATGATAGGAAAAGAATTGATAATTACTTAAATTTTTGAATAAGACGAATGGTTAAACATATTTAAAAAAATCAACGGCGTCAAACATTTTGGGATGGAGGGAGTACTAAAGAGAACTTTTCGAAAATATATCTTTAGAGGCATGGAGCAAGTAATACACGGCAATAATCTATTAATCTGGTGATAGGCAGAAAAGAACACGATCTCACACTCACAGGCTCACAGCGTGTTCATGAGCCAAGAAAATTTATGACCATGCAGGAAACTCAGGTTTTGCACCTTCCAGGAAACAGTGTAGGAATGATGGCTTTGCCTTGTTTAGGCCCTATTTGTTTAGGCTTAGGTTTATTGGCTTAGGGGCTGTTTGGTTGATGGCCATAAGTTACCACACTTTGCCACACTTGAGGTTAAACAAGTTTGACCATGTGAGGTGAGTGTTTGGTTAGCTCCCACAAATGTGGTAAGATTCCTCTTTTGTAATCTAGGTCCCACATGTAAGTGACTCTAAAAAGTGTGGCATGGTTTCATTTTGGTGGCTAGAGTGTGGCTTGGATTTTGATGGCCTCAGCTTTAGCAAATTTAGCTAAGAAAGTATGGTAAGTCTAGATAATGTTAGTATGTGAACCAAACAGCCCCTTAGACTTTTAAGTCAGCTTATTGGCTTATATGATTTATAAGCCGGTGGATTAATGTCTTAAGTTTAATGGTGGAGTCATGCATCTACCTCACATAAGCCAAAAAAGTTTTTCCAACCTACCTTTTGGCTTAATAGTGTTAGAGTGGCTTATGGCTTCAAAAAAGCCAAACGAAAAAGCCGCTTGTTTGTTTAGACTTAGACTTTTTGGCTTACTAGAAGTTGTGTACGTGCAAGGCACGTATAAAACATAAATTACATTTAAAAATTAGGAAGTGTAATAAAATGTCGGAACCAGTGCATAATCATATTTTATGAACATTCTTGCTCTTTATCAACTATTGAATTGAAAAGATTGTTAATTACATAAATATATAACTGAAAGCAAAAAAAAATGTCTATTGAGTTCAACTTCTGTCATTTCAGTCCAGCAGTATAAGGGAAGGTACGCGGCGAACGATTTATAATCCTTCTTCTCACCTTGTACCAGTGATTGAAAAGGGGCACACCTGGTGCGGCGAGGGAATTTAAGACGGGGAACTCATGATCCTAACATATTCACCCGCAATAAATTTTCACTAAATATTCTTTTGAGTTATCTTAAAAACAAAATTATTGTTTGTTCTTTTTATGCCTCTACCCTGCAACGGTCATTCGTTAAGATCATCTGAAAATTGGATGAGCTGAACAGTCAAGCTGCTTGAGCATGACACAGACATACAACTCCAAGGTACTACAACAGGGAATTGGACTAATCATACTGGAAGGCTCAGTGCTCGTCAGAAATATTATGACCAATCTGAGTTTTTTTTCATTTATTGAACCTTTTAATTTTTAATTTTAAAAATGAACCTTCCCAAAACTTACTTTCAAATATGAACCTTTCTGCCACGCTAAGTGCCGGTGACGTGACAATATTGTTTTGCCAAACCAAGCGACGCGGGGTGGAGATGAGGACCGAGTCGCGCCGTCGCGCGTGGTGGAGAGGCGTAGTCAGGCGAGTGTAGTTGGCGGGTGGTTGCGGCGCCGCACGACACCCGGTCGCATAGTCCTAGGTAGCCATGCGTGCGTACTCGCAATCCGAAAATCACTCAACTCAGGAGTAGTGATTATCACGGAATTTGGGAGGGAGGGAGGAAGGTATTTGTACCTGCATCACTGAAAGGAGATCCATTCTGAAGCTTTTCTTAGGGTTTAGGCCTCCCAACAATCACCATCGCTGGGGCTCCCTTGTGGCAGGATTCCATCCCATCTCGCTTGGATTAGATTGCTGCCCTCCCTCCACAAGGCAAGACGACATTCTCGCAGAGACGGGGGCATGGGTGTTGAGCGAGGGGGAGGGGGAGGGGGAGGGGAGGGGCAGCGTGGTAGACGACAGAGGCCAATCCGGAGTCATGGTCGCACAGTCGTGAAGGAATCCGGCGAGCCGACATCGACGACGATATGGGTGAGACAGTGGGTCTGGCGGAAGGGCAGACCACCCTGGTGCCGTCGGGGGCAATCCCGGGCGGGGCTCCGACGGAAGGGGGGAACCACCTCGGCGGGGCTCCGGCGGGGGCAACGGTGGAGTGCCACGGCGGTGGAAGAAGGGGGACGACCTTGGCTCCGCCTCCGGCAAATGGGGAATCCATGGCTCCAGCGGCGGCGGCAGTACATGCGAGGAGGAGGGAGGAGGAGCGACTCGCGTTGGCGGGGGCAGCTGTGGAGTGAGACGGCGGCAGCAGTACACGCGAGGGGGAGGAGCGAGGAAGAGCGGCGCGTGGTGGCGGAAATAGCACACGCGAGGAGGAGGAGCGCGAGTCGCGCGTGGTCATCGCGCGCGAATTGTGTGGTCTTCGGCGCGGTCATCGCGCGTGGTCTTCGGCTCTTTGCGCGTGGAGATGAGGAGGATATGCGGATGGACGGTACGGATCAGGAAATATGCGGATGAACGATAGGGATCGATCCGGGTGATTTCACCAGTAGAATTGGAGGGGGGCAACTCCTCCTTTTTATATTAGTATAGATATATAGATATAGATATAGATATAGATATAGATATAGATAAGTTGGCTTATAAGCCTAATCAAAGAAGGCCTTAAGCGAAATCGGGACATATGCGCGTGCCACGTCGGATTGGAACAGTGCGCGGGGTGGTATTTTTTTCTAAAAAGCCCTCCATTTTTCTGTAATTACATATGAGCCCCTCACAGACAGTGTTTAGATAGGAAAAATCGCGGATAGGGACCTATATGTAAAATGATAAAAGTATAGGGTTTTTTCCTAAAAATAACGCCCCTAACTATACCTGGCCAAATGGGCCGTGCCAAGCCGGGCCGGCCCGAGCACGGTAGTACTGTAGCCGGCCCAGGCCCGGCACGGCACGCCAGCTTGTGGGCCGTGCCGGCACGGCCCGTTATCCCGTGCCGTGTTTGGGCCGATGCCTCAGCCCGTGGGCTGGCACGGCACGGCACGTTTACTGTAGCGTGCCGGCACGGCACGGCCCACCGGCCCATTTATTTTTCCTACGATTTTCTAATTTTTCCCATATATTTCTCATATTTTTTATTTTTTTCCACATTTTATCCTATTTGTACCATATATTTTATGATATATTTCCTAAATTTTCCTCACATTTATCCTATATTTATCATTTTTTCCTTTATATTATGTTTTTTCTGCCTTTTTTCTTTTTTTCCCCTCAAATTTCAATTTTTATGGGCCACATGTACTAGTGGGCCGGCTACCAGCCCACGTGCCACTACAGTAGCCGTGCCGGCCCGGCACGGCCCAGCACCTTCTTGGGCCGTGCTTGGGCCGTGGCCTTGGCACGTGGGCCGGCACGGCACGGCCCGCTACAGGAGCCGTGCCTAACGGGCCGTGCCGTCGGCGTGCCGTGTCGTGCTGGGCCGGGCCGCCCGTTTGGCCTGCTATACCCCTAACCCTAACTCGCCAAACCCTGTCCGCCGTCGCCCCCTTCTCCCTCTTGTCTCTCTCTCACCCTCTCCCTCCGCTCTCTCGCCGCCGTCGCCGCCACGCGCTGCCACCTCCGTCTCCCCCTCGCGCCACCGCGTCTACTGCCGCCGCCGCCGCCGCGTCCACCGCAGCCGCCTCGGGCGGGTCCACCTCTCCTCCACCGCCGCGTCCACTTCCGCCGCCGTCGCCGCGTCCACCGCAGCCGCCTTCGCCGCGTCCACCTCCGCCGCCGCCGCGTCCACCGCAGCCGCCTCGGTCGCGTCCACCTCTGCTGCCGCCGCATCCATTTCCGCCGCCGCTGCCGCGACGCTGTCTCCGAGCGCCGTCGCCATCATCGAGGCGAGCAGCCATCTCGAGCGCCGCCGCTGCCAAGTGCCTCCTCCGGCCGCCGGCGTCCGGATCCGGACTCCATGTGGTCGGGAGACGTCGATCTGACCGGCGGATGTGACGAGGAGCTCGGCCGCGCCACACGGAGCTCAACCTCGGCGGATTGGGCGACGGCGTCGGCCTCGGCGGTGAAAAGTCTCTGTTGCTGCTGCCGCCGTCGGGCAGTCAAGGTTTTTCCTGCCGGTAGAGGTAAAAGAACTCCTTGTGTTGGTTTAGGGCTAGATCTTTGATAATTTTACCTCTAAAGATATAGTGTTTTGCCTTTGATTTGAATTGTTTTCCCCCTGATGGCTGATGCACTTATGCAGTATGGAAAAAGAATCTTCCATGTGCTAGGGCAAGGAAGCCTTTTGTAGTCAGCTCTCTAGACTTGCTTATGCTTCTGCAGTGAGCACCCAGCAATAGGTTAGCTACATTTTTCTTGACTGAATGGTTCGGTACGAATACATGTAATCTTAACAGTAGGATTAATAGTCATGCCTTATCCTTGGATATTAATTAAAGTTGTTCCTTTTCGTTTATGGTAAGATCAAGTTCATTTTTACTATATATGAAGTGCGGTACTTATCTAAATGCTGTTGTGATTTTAAAGGCACAAAAAATGTAGTTGCAAGGTTTTTAATTATTTTCCTACTGTTTATGTATATTTATCCTTTTAGTAACCTAAAAAAACTAATTGCTACTCTTCTTCTGATAGTATGTTGCTTTGTTTGTGTGTTTTTAAGGTAAATCTGCTCTCTTGGTTCTCTGAATTAAAAGGACATACAACTATAGCATGATGATCTTGCAGGAAATTATCATGTCTTTTCAGCAAGGTACTATAACCAAAAGCACAAGTAAATTCTGATGATGGTTTTTTTATTGTGCCTAAATTGATCGTTTACTAGAAGTTCTTTGCTTTAGATTGCTCTATATGAATCGAGTTGTCGAAAAAGGTGCCATTTAGTCCACGGGCTTCACGAAAATCAGTGTTTCAAAGAAACAAACCTTGAAACATTCCATGGGGTTCTCAGGTTAGTTTAATCAAACTACATCCATGGGATTTCGTGATTCATTATGTATAAATTTCATGAATTTAGATGTGGTCGCAGATCGCGGATGGCGGCGGCCACCAGGCGGATGTGGTCAAGGGAGGACTGGCAGCGCTGAGCAACGACGTCTAGGAATAGCATCTCAGGTCAGTCCTCTTGCTCCCTCATCTCGCTCCTTACATATTTCTGGATTATTCAGTTGAGGAGAAGGAATTCACAAAGGAACTGCTCCTGCACCCACTCCCCAATCGCAACGCGCTGGCCCACTTCCACTCCTCTGCGCATCCCTCTGCTGCCAACGGACGCTAGCAACATGTCAAACCCCAAGGCCATCCCCCAGCTGGTATGTGCCCCGTGTTCCCCTTTCCCCAGTACACAGGTCTTGCGACTGCTACTGCCCTTAGTAAGTTAGGATTCGACGGTTAGTGTTGTTTCGAATTGGGCTTGTCTTGTGTGGATTGGCCGTGCGGAGCTGTAGAATCAGGTGATACTAAATGGGAATAGAGCAATTAGCTTATTTTTATCAGCAGGAACAATGAGTGTAGCAACTGCTTCATAGCTTTTTTCAGTTCATTCGCTTTAGTTGGGACTTGGGACTGGATGAGGATTATCACTGTTTTTTTTTTTTTGCATTATGTTGACTATGTCAGTCTTAGTTTTTTTTTGGGACTTGGGACTGGATGAGGATTTTCACTTTAGTGTCCTCTTTTTAAGTAATCTACTGTGAAATCAGTTGCTGGATGTTTCAGTAACCATGACGTGTGGGTTAGTAAATATGTGCGGATTATTACCGGGTAGTGCATTTACCCACATACTGATTCAGAGGAACAAAATATATTGCCATTGATTATTTATTCTGCTGTGAGGTAAAGGAGGATTTAGGTTGCAATTAATAAAATTGTACTACTGCATTTGTCCCTAAGAAGTCACAACTCTTTCTGGTAAAAAATTTAGCATGCTGTTTTACAACTTCTAGATTTATTTGTTTTTCAGTGCAAGTCACTGACTTTACGGTATTGGAGTTCGAGTAGAAGATCAGCTGCTCCGTCATCGACGATGGCCTGATCCACAGATGAATTTTGGTGCTGATACTTCCAGGGAGGTAAATTATTGTTCTATTTGGCACATGCTGGTGGGGTGCGATGTCATCTGTGCCAAATGGACCTAAAAATATTGTTAGCTAGCCTGACTGTCATCAGCCAATGCTTTTCAGTTGGGTGCTCGAAGTTCAGAAAAAGCTGCTAGGTGGATCAGGACAATGGAATCTGCCTTAAAGGTTGGAGTTTTTCTTATTTATTTTATTTCACACAATCATTATGTTCAAAAAAGCACTAACATGATGTCTGTCATGTGAGCAGCCCCCAAGAAAGGATGAACTTGTTAGCTGTTCACATACAAGATGGCAAGCTTTTAGGTAAGCTGCTATGCAGATCAATCTTTATTTTGTCAATTACTTAGCAATGGACTGGAGATTCATGCACTGTTTATTTATTGAGAAATGCTCTTACTGTTAGACTCATCCTTTTCTTTTCTTTTTCAGTTTATAAAGTTTTTCCTCTTTTTGTATCTTTTTCATTGAAAACAGTATGTAGATTCTAAAGGCTACTGTCAAATGTTTGGCACACATTTCATAAAATTTCCAAATTATCTACCATTGTGCTAGCCCTCTTTTTTGAAAGGCCTCCTCTTGTTAGTGCTGGAAACAATCAGTAGTTATGGCTGTATGAAATGCCATGAGATCATTTACTTTAGATTGAATCATTGAACTAAATAGTTTTTACTGTTTTTAGATGGGATGCAGCACATGCTCGTGCTTTCAAGTTACAAGAGAACAATGATGCCTATATGTAATTTTATACATCACCTTTTCTTTTCTTTTCTTTTTTTGTAAAAATATAATTAATCATATGACTGATGCTTTGTTCTGAGTTTGACTGCTAGCCTCTACAGTCCTATGCTCCATCCTCTGTTGTACATATTTGGATAGAAGTTTCATTTTCTTCATCACTTGGGTTGATGTTTAATTATAATAAAAAAGTACCCAACTGTCCTTGTTCTATTGGCTAATCTGTGGCTATATCTTTGCAGGCTAAGCCGCTGCAGTAACCGCATGCACTCAATAGGTAACTATCGTCTTATAATGTACTCCCTCTCTAGAATAAACAAAATTCTAGAAATGTTATAGTTAAGTTTTTCTAATCATTTTCACATAAAATAATCAACATATGAATATTGAAAGTGATAGTAAAAGTTTCTTCTTGGAGGCTGTAAAATGGCAAAGTTGAGTAAATATTCTTAAATTAAGGGAGCAAGACGAAATTATAGTACTACTTTTAGTGATTCAATTAACTATCTTTATTTCTTTAACATGTCAAACAATAAAACCTGTGTCTCTTTACTGTCATTGTTTTCCTTATTTTTACTGTTCTGTGCAAAATATTCTACCAGGTTGGACTGTATTTTCTTCTGTCCATAACGATCCTATGGCATCTGATGTTATTGCACCTTCTCCATGGACAATATTTGACTGTAAAAATGGTAAGTATAAAAAAAATCTCATTTCTTTACATCACTAGATTTTGCGCTGAATCCGACTTACATTTAGGATTCCGTTTGTTTACTGAGGCAAAAGATGGTGGTTCAGAGGGGAAGGTAATTCTTGTATGAAACAAAGGTTGCATATCCTTCTTATGACGATTCTAGCAAGGTAAGGTTGATTCTTGCTTGTGTGCCTTCATTTGGTTAATTACATAGCAGAGCTTGCCCTTTCATGTTCATGAGCTGGTTCTATTTATTGCCAATTGACTTCTCTCCATATTAGCTTGCCAATTGATTTGGTTAATCTTGACACCTCCACTATATTAGCTGGATAATACATGCACTTGGGTGGAAGGATTCATGTGGTCTCAATTGATTATTTAACTTGAAATTGGTACCTTGGATTAATCTCAGTGGATTAATCTTTGCGTTAAGAGTTTTTTTTTTGTTGATGATGAGAGAGGAAATAGGGTGTCCATGCTTCATGATTACTGGTTATGTATGCTTCCTTCATTCTTTTTCATGCTAATGTACGTTTCCTTGTATGATCAAGGTCGGTATTGCCATGGGTGCCTTGGAGCTTAATCATTTGCCTGATTCTCAGCATGCTTGTCTGAAAAGCAGATTGACCTGAGTTTGTGTGGTAAGTGGAGGTGTCCCTGCAAAGTGAAGTCCTCGGTTTATTCCAGCTTCCATTACATAGGAGGAGCCCCATTGATAGCACATTTGAACCGGTGGCTCATGATAAACCAGTTAGTTGACTGAAGGAGCTGCTCCATCTGCTTTTCTCTTTGATCATTTAGCATATCGATGCATACGAACTATGAAGGAGCTGGTCCATCTGCTTTTTTGTCGCAATGATCTGTGTACATGCCCCCTCCTTATCTCTTCGTCTTTAAGGAATAATGTAGTTTGATCCAATGGACGAATGAGATTGTTTTGGTTGGATGTTTACATCATCAGAACGAACAGAATAACTAGATGTGTTATGATAAATACCAATTGTTCTTTATCTTCAGCGTTCAATTTATGGGTTGCCTTGGCCAATAACCTTACTTTTTTTATGATCTATTTCAGCTATAGCTGATGATGGAATTTTTTTTAAAAGTAATATGATTTTAATGGAAAATCGCAAAACTATAGGTCAGTTAGGCGAAATCGCAAGTTTAGCACCCTATCGAACAACCGTGGTTCGACAAGGTACCTATCGAACAACCACAGTTCGATAGGGTACCTGTCGAACTGCGGTAGTTCGACAGGTGATTAAAAAAATCAAAAAAAGAGAAAAATCACTGTTGCACACTGTTCACAATACCCTATCGAACTAAGGCAGTTCGATATGTGTCTGCGAGCACTGTAGCATCACTGTTCACGCAACCCTATCGAACTTTGGCTGTTCGATATGTCCCTGCCTAGCATTGTAGTGATACTGTTCATGTAATTTTTTATTTGTTTTTGGACCACCTACCCTGTCGAACTGACGCAGTTCGACATGTACCTGTCGAACTGTGGTTGTTCGATAGGTATCCCTGTCGAACCGCGGTTGTTCGACAGGGTGCTAAACTTGCGATTTCGCCTAACTGATCTATAGTTTTGCGATTTTCCATTAAAATCATATTGTTTTTAAAAAAAATTCCTGATGAACTTCCTGACCCCACTCTCCGTGGACGACCACCGTGCCTCCTTGCGGTCTTCTCATCGCTCTCTGGTGGAGGTGATCCAGCACGCTTGAACGGCAGTGATGTCAACAATGACCGTGTGTGGACATCTGATCCCCCTCCCTATACACAGGTAGAACCAATTTTTCCTTTTTCTCTTCCTGCTGCCTTTTTATGTTAACTGAATTTATGAAGCAGGAATTTGTTTGAATACATTTGTTGTCATAATTCCAATTTGATAAATACATAAATGGATTCTACAATTGACATAAATATGTGAAAATATGAACAGGGAGTTGGGGCTTCAGACAAATGATGAAATGAGTGTGTGTGTGTGTGTGTGTGTATTTATGATAATGAAACCAGTTTGCTGCAGTTGTCAGATAAGGTGTAGATTTTGGATATTCTCTCTTTGCAACTGCTTTCGATTTCTGTATAATTTTTTTTGTCTGATAAGAAAAACTGAAAAAACAAGCCTCTAGGTTCAGTTTCAGAACTGCATGGTACAACTGTTCCACAGGGTTGCAAAATGCTTAGATGATTTTGACTTACAAATAAGTTCTTTCCAAATTCACAATTCTAATTTGAAGTGGGCATCGAGTAATAGTTGTTCATAAATTGTTTCTCCTCTGTGTATCATGTTCAGCTTTAATATTTGCAACTATCTGTTCCTAAAAATGCTTGTAGTACATGATTTAAAAAATTAACATGTTTTTTCTAGATAAGGGGGATGGCATAAGATTTCCTTCATGAAGTACTTGCAGAGCTATTTATTTATCAGTTGAATTTGCTAAAAAAGAAACAGGTTAAATTCAGACTGTTAATAGATACAGGATTTATTGATATATGTTGTTGTACTCTACGGGCTCAGTTACCCACATAAACATTGTAGTATTCTGCTGAACCTATTACTTGAATTCTGAGGTTGCAACTTCTCAATTGATTCTCTGAAGCCTCTGACTATACTATGACTAACTTAAAATAATCTTACTTGGATTGTCTCTGTGTTGCTAGGATAAGGACACCAATGAGGCAATGAAAGGTGAGGTTGATGTTCTTTGTGTTGGTTACATGATGAGATGCTTGAGACTGAAAATCATCATCTCCTATTTTGCAATTTTTGTAGTTATTTTCAGGTATTCTCTTCTGCCCTATAGGCTGATAGGTTAATGTTTCCAGCTGTCAGAACAAACAAATCAGTAGTTCTTGATGTATTTCAATTAGAACCTTAATTTTCCATTTTACCATGAGGATCCCATGTGTTTCTTTTCCTTGATTTGTACCATTATTTCCAGAATTGTGCAAAAGAAAAAAAAAACTATAAGAAATAATTGAAAAGACCAGAACTGAATGTTGTACTGGATTGGTCTTTATTTAAACTTAATCCAATAATAACCAGTTTTTGTACAAGCTGGTATTATTTTCATTGGGTTGCTAGGTTCCCTATGGAATTGTTATGTTGAGCAGATTCGTGTTCATGTATATAATAAGTTTCTAAAGAAAACAAAGTGTTTCGAAGGGAAAAAGCTGTGTATGATGAAAAAATTATATCAGGATTGCAATCAGCTATATGCTGATCTTCACTACAGTGCATTAACATGCTAATAGGGTGTTTTTGGAAATGCCTTCCAACATGCTATAGGCCAGGGTGGGAGACCTATTGATAATTTTTACACTTACAAGCTTGTTTGCTTTCTCTTCTTTTCCTGTTTTATCAACAGTTTTAATCTGGCCAAACAACAATGGAAATGCATGCTAACGGGATGAATTACTATCAATGTATGTTCCCTCACCTCTATATCTCTTTTTCCTTTTCCCATTTCCCCCTTAATCATGTAACATTCTAACTTCTCATTTCTATCAACAAAATGGCTATAGGGTAGAGCTGCTCTACCTTCTTATGTTAAAAATAAAATCATTTTGAGTACCTCCAAAGGACACACGAAATAGTATCAAATTTATATTAACAAGAGAGTCACATGTCGTCACTATTTTCCCCTTTTGACCACTTCCACTTGTTCAATGATCCGTGAATGTGCATATACTATGCGTAGCTAAATAAACCCAACTAATGGAGGGTCAATTCATTTAGTTATCATGCAAGATTTTTAGTTTAACTATTTCAGATTTGCATAGGGTCTAGGGTTTAGGGACCTCATTAACAACCTCTCCCCTGCTGATTTGTTGCTTTGATTTTTTACTGAAAATTTGCCTAGCTGGTTTCAACAGAGTCCTCTTCTCCGGTCATCTCCTTTCTTCACGGCTGATCACAATCTAAAAAGGTGTCTTTCTGGTAGGGTTGCTACTGCTACTCCACTGGATCTGACATCTGGGAGGGGCGCACCAACCCTAAAAAAAGCTACAGCATTTCCTCTGATTTGTGTTTATATTGCTTGCTGTTTCTCCTCCAACCCCTTCGCTCTGCGATTTCCAACCACCACACGCCGGCCATCACCAAGTGCCCACATGTCAACCGAGTTCTCCAGCTTTACTGTTAGGTTCCTATGCACAAATCCATCCATATCCACTAGATAGAGCAAACAAATGTTTTGCCATATGAACCCTAGCCTAATATAAAGATCCCTTCTGATTACATTTTTGGGTTCTTGCAATTATCAGTTTTTTACGGCCTCACTCACTGCCAAATGATTTCTCCTGCCACAGGATTAGGGAATCCATGCACTGCAGTTGCCCGCGGTTTCTCATCACCAAACATATTTGCAGGTACAGTTTACTACCGTTGTCTTCTACGAATAACGGCACTGACAATAAAAAAAAAATACTATACTGATATGAACTGAAAACAATCTTGCTAAGTGTAAAATTATAAACCCAGAACAAACAAAATCAATTGTTATTTTATTTGCGCCTACAAAAGGATATGTTATATTAATACCTTTTCTTAGCAAATTTATTCTAGATCCCAGCCTTCGTCATGCACAAAGTTCTATACGATCTTTTTCCACTATCAATATCGTTTTACATATTGATTAAATTTCTCCTGGTACATCACCGTATATATTACCATATCCATATACATCGATTGTAACGCAGGCCTATTTAACATGTCTTATAAGTTAACACAAAAGACTATGGTGCCCATCATTACATAGTTTATAGCTAGCGATGCGAAAGTAATTAAGGCTAGAATAAATAAAATAATCTCAGAGGCGATTAGAGCAGTTGCTACCCCTCTACTGTGATCACTATTTTTAGACAAGCTCAAGTCCTCCAAACATGATCAGTATACCACACGGATCTTAAAATATCACAGCACAGTTTGCAACCTTTATAGCAAGGTCTTACCGACCAGTCCTCTAACCAATATATGATTTTGTTCCCACTCTGTGTAATTGTAATTTAAAGTTATTCCTTCTGTTAAACCTCATATCATAGAGATCATGCTTACTGTTTAAATACCTTCACAAAGAAACATATATCAGAAGTACCTAAAACCTTGCTATAGCAGCCATTGGCTCTTCTTCTTCATCGTCAGCCGCAGTGCATGCATCACTTAGCCTAATCTTCTTCACCTTTACTTATTATTGTATCCTTAGATTTCTCAGACGTTGCTTTATCTTCCCGTGCAAACACACACACACACACACACAAAACCCAACATAAATATGTATTCACAGATTCAATCTGCACCTTGTTTTGCATAGTTATGGATCCACCAACATTCTTCACGATCTGGATGACCGCGGCAAATCAGCACTGTGCGGTAAAATCTAAGACAAAACTATCCTATTCAATATATAAAGTATCCTATATACAACAATGTTAATGTATGTTCTTTATTGGCCAGTGTATTCCACCCGCAATTGTGCAAGCATATGAACTCAAGGACGGTCAAAAAAGTTGGTGACAGCACATCACCTTAAGGTCTACATTGAACTGAGGAAAGCATCTAACAACATGTACATGACAGCAGGATGGGCCCAGTTTATAGAAGCAACTGGTCTGCAGGTTCAAGAGCCCGCCGTTTTCAGGGTTTTATCAACCTCGAAGATGCATTTCATCATATTTGCAAAGGACGGTTATCTTAGATGCCCAGTTCCAGACAAACCCAGAGACTCTGAACCGACCAGACAATCGTTTCGCACATCAAGCCCACAAGGTAAATGAACCGTATCTTACAGCTCATCTCCTGGCAAAACAAAAAAAAAAAAAAACATCCTGCTGTATACTGCCATATCTGCATCCATTAGCCTATCAACTTTATTACCTACTCTTGTCAATTTCTTTTTTTTTAAAACATTATTTCACTTGCAGGGAAAGCCACTACAATTACTTCGCCTATCCAATGCTGCATCAAAGGGAAGCTAAAACATGATGGCACATCCACTTCTGCAAGTACACATGGTTCACTTGATATTCTCAATATATTCATCACCATCTCTTTTCACCTACACTGCTATGTTCATTCACATCCCTTGTAACAGGCAACAACAGGCGCACTATCAGCGAAATGTGTTTCTGCACCAAGGACATCAGGTTATCAGCTGAAGTCAAGAACTACATCAAAGATATTGCGCCATTCCTCCAGCCCTCAGACAAATTTTATGTGACTGCCATAAATGCAACATTCATGAAGGAAGGGAGAGTGGTAAAATCACTAGCTCATTCCTCTTTTCTGCACTATACACTTAAAAACTAATGTTCTGTTTTTATCCAGTACTTAGTAAAGGAATTTTCAAAGAAGTACATTGCACCGCTTGCACGATGAAAAGACAGCACAAATCAAGGTACGAATTCCTGGACACCCCTCATCCACCATGGTTCTCCACAGATGCTACAACTTGAAATCGGGATGAACCCGTTTTGTGACAATCAACAACTTCCAGATTGGAACAATTTGCATATTCCACTTTTACAAGACAGATCGCCTGGAAGCAACGGCAGATGTCTTGTGAAGGCAATATGCATCGGCTACAACCTGTCATCCTCCTGTTATCGCCAAGTGACTCTGCCAGGGCTTTCTAAATATCTCCAGCCTGTTTCTATGTTTATTATTAGCGCCCTTTATAGCCTTTCTATAGACATCTAATTACCTTGTAAATATTGCACCCAAGCTAGCATGTGTGCCTCTCACTAGACACCAGGGTCGAACAACATCTCCAGTGCTGTAATCAGTTATTTTGGTCGTAGCTATATGCAATGGACAGCCTATGTGTATCTGTTCCATACCCTTTAATGCCCCGTCGGTCCTTCGTATTATACCATCCATGGTTCACTAGCTGCTCGATATTTTCGCGCTGTTACATACTATGCGTGTGCAATTATATGCAGGGTGCACAAAAAAAAAAAAAAAACTCATCATGTCGTTCCTACACAGATGCATTGTGCACAGGCGGCGCGCCAATGGCGCGCCCCAGCATCTAGTGCAGGTAAAACCGCGGGGTGTGTATCACTGCATCGCCTATCCGTTTCTAGGCAAAACTCAGATAATCACGTTGCCTCTGCTGCAAGTCACGTTGCCTCTGCTGCAAGTCTGCAACCAAGACTTGGCTTGCTGCAAGAAAACAGTATGGCTCCCTGCAAATATGCATCCACAAGAGAACAAGAGATGCACATCTGGGAAAATGCCTATAGATCAACAAGAGAGCATTTTTGGAGAACAAATAATGCACTCACAATAGAACCACATTGGCTGGTCGGTAGGTACCACAAATGGGCAACCAGACGTATGGCCTCCAATGCCGAACTGCTTGAACCAACCCAATGAGCTCCCTTTCATAAGCAGCAAGGCGAGGATGGCGTGGTGCTATCGGCCGACTAAAAAACGCCACTGGTCCAGCGCCTTGATGCAGGATGGCACCAAACCATGCACTCGACGCGTCACACTCGATGATGAAGGGCTGCGCGAAATCTGGAAGTTGCAGTGTTGGGGCAGACGTGATAGTGTGTTGGAGTGCCCGGAATGCGCGCTCCGCATCATCGGACCAAGCGAACGCTGCCTTCCTGAGGAGGCATGTTGTCACGCCCTGAAGTTATTCTCCCTAGCCAAAATTTAATTAATAAATTGTTGCAAGAAATTATTTGTTTAAAGGCAAGAGAGAAACCCTAAATTAAAAAAATACAAATAATAATCGGAATCGACATGTGGAATTTTTCTTGGGTTCTACATGTCAAAATATGCTAACATGATTTTTAGTGGAATTTTCAGAGCCTTGGAAATAATTTTAACCAATTAAAAATGAGCATGTGCATTATTTAAATCCCATGAAAATCTTTTTTTCCTTTTCCCCTCTTTTCTTTTTCCTCTTTTCCTCCTTTGGGCCGTCGGCCCACTCCTCCCACGCCGGCCCACGTCCCTCCCTCCTCCCTCTGGGTCACCGATAGGTGGGGCCCACCTGTCGGCCCCTTCTTCCTCCTCCAGCCGGCCGGCAACCGCCGCCGCCTACCCCGCACACCACGCCACCACTTCCTCCACACCCGCACCCCCACTCCGCGCCCACACGCCTCCCACGTCGCCACCCCCACGCCCCGCCTTCTCCCGCCCACGTGCGCGCGCCCGCAAGGGCGGGATTCAATTCGAATCCCCCCTACTCTCTCTCTCCATCCCCCACGTCGGCGAGAAATCCGGCCGCCTCCCGGCCTCGTCCGTCCCTTCCTTGCCCATAAAAAGCCTCCCCTGAGACTCCTCTCTCTTTTCCCCCACTCGCCGCCCTCTCCCGTGCTCTCCACTGCGCCCGCGTCGCTTACCCTGCCGTCCGCCGCTCGCTGCGGAGCTCCGGCCGCACGCCGTCGCAGCTAGGGCCGCCACGCTGTGCATTCGCCGCCGCTAGCTTCGCCGTCGTGGGAGCTATCCTGGCCGCCGCTCGGTTGCCCCCCTCCGCCGCCGCACCGCTCTCCCTACGCCAAGCCACACGCTGCCGCTTACCGCCGCCTCCAACCACCGCTAGCCATCGCTAGTGCCGTCGCCGCGCCGCTCCGTTGCCGCCGTTGGCCTTGCGAGGTCAAGGGCCGCCTCGTCCACCCCGCGCACCCCGCCGTCCGTCGCTCGCCGTCGCCGTTCGTTGTCGCCTCCTTCCGCGCCGGCCGAACCCTGGTGAGGCACCCCCTCCCCCGTTTTTCCTCTTCCTCTCCCTCCTAGCGCCGAGCCGCGCCGCCATCGTCGTCCGGCACTTCGCCGCCGGCCGCCCGTGTCGTCGGCCGCTCGTGTCGCCGGCCGCCGCCGTCTTCTCGCCGGTCATGGCCGTCGGTTGCCGATTGCCGCCGCCACATCGCCTAACCAGCCGGCCGGTTTGAAGCCGCGCCGAGCCGACCGGGCGTCTCCCCCTCCCCTTGAGCCACTGCCCGGTGGGGCCCACCCACTAGCCGGTGCCACCTCCTCCCCTTTGAGCCACTGCCGAGTGGGGCCCGCATATCGGCGCCGCCCCTCCCCTTGTTGATGTCATCCGGGGTTATTTATTGCGCGATAAATCTATGAAGGCCTTTTCTTTATTAGTAAAAACACACATAATCTTCTAAAATTCATATCTAATTCATCCGAGCTCCAATTAAGTCCATTCAAGTCTCAGTAAATTCATAAAAATGCATAGAATCCATTAAAAATGGTTTTGTTTCCTGTTTCAGTAGACTTATAGCATGTTTTGCTTGTGTGCTTTGTTTGTCGCGTAGATTTCGGCCGTTTCGTCGACCCGCGGTTCCTCGAAGACGTTGCTGTGGTCTCATCAGTGCGAGAGCAAGGCAAGTCATGCATTATAATTGATCATGCTGTACCCAATTTACAAATGTCCCGCATTTCTAACAAATGTTGCATTATTTTACAATATCATGTGGGATGGGTCCTACTACTCAGCCATATATTGTTTACCTTATGCCATTGATAACTTGGGTATTAAAATGATTAGATGTTGGATTAGGGATTGCTTAGCCATGCTTAGTTCAACTAGTACACAATTGGGGAATTACATTAATGCATAGACTTTGATTATTGGTATAGCTTTGGATTAGTGCCACCGCAATGGTGTTAGTTAATTAATATACACTACATGGTGGGCTGTGGGTGCATGGTTTTGCTAGTCGTGCCCATGGCGATTAAGGACCGGTTCGCGGGATGCCCTGGAAGAATTTATCGTACTTACCACAAGCCAACGTGGGCAACGGCTGGGCTTGTAGTGTAGCTTTCCTCTAGCCGACGTACCCAGGCGAGGGTGGGCGTGATGGAGTTGGGTCGGCCGGGGCGTCCGTTTGATCGGCTTCCGGATTCACCACGGCACGAGAGGGGGGCTGCCCGTTGCCTGCTGGGGACGGGGCGAACCCTGAGGTGTGGTGCGATCAGTTAGAGGGGATTATGCGAAGGGTCCTGTCACGGCCTCTTTCCGGTATGTCGTGGTGGCATGTCGGTGCACGGAAACGTGTCATGGGGCTATCTTGTGGGTACAGTTGTACACCTCTGATTAGAGTAAAACTATTCGAATAGCCGTGCCCGCGGTTATGGGCGGTCGACCAGATTCACCATGATTAGTCTCACCCTAGTTAGCTATTGAACTGGTGTAGTTCAGGTGGTTGGTTGGGCCTGTTGCAACGTGGTGTAGCGTTGGACAGTGATTGGTTAATATTGATTAATTACTACAACTATTTTACTGCTTTCAACTACTGTTTTTAAATGCTAGTTTTATGCAAAAGAACTTTAGCCTCCCTTGGATATATCCTGTATCATACCTCCTCTTCCGGTATGACTTGCTGAGTACAGTGGGTAGTACTCAGTCTTGCTCTCTTTTCCCCCACACTAGAGTTGAAGTTCTTCTCAGTTGGAGATGTCTCGAAGAAGTTGGTTTCGTCGTTGCCGTCAAGGATGCCTGTGGAATGGAATCGCCCGCTGCAGGAGTCAAGTCTTCAGGCTTAGCTCGCTTTTATCTTTTCTGCTGCATTTGTAATCTTTTATATTTTTGTAAGACGTGGATCTGTATGTCAACAATTGTCGTTTGTGTACCCTGGCTGGCCCTGGACAGGGGTTTAATACACATTCAGCTTAGAAATTCTGGTTCGTGAATTTCTGGGCATGACACGTGTCAGGGACGCCGCGATGACGCCAAACCCTTGGATGAAACGCCGATAGTATCTACCAAGGCCGAGGAAACCGCGGAACGCCCGCACCGAATGAGGGGTCGGCCAGTCCAATACCGCTTGGACTTTCTATTTGTCCATGGAGACGCATTCCCCGGAGATGGTGTGGCCCAGGTAGGCCACTGATGTGACGCCGAAAAAACACTTGGAGCGCTTGAGGAAGAGGCGGTGCTGCTGCAACAAGAACATCTTGTAAGTTTCAACACTTCTTTCAAGGAGGGACATGTTATCTATAAGGGCAAAGGAGAGCCCGGGTCCCAAGACAAGCTAGGACCCTGGCCTCCTTAGCCTTCAATCTTAAGATGTAGATCTTGTACATTTCCACGCTCCTCTCAAGGACGACGTACCGCTTGAGGTTCTGGTTAGATCAATCGAAACTAACCGTGGAGGCTCTGGTTGATCCCTTTTGATGAGATAAATCCAATGGCCTAAAATAGCAGGTTTACCAATTTAAATGAAAATCAAGGGTTAGATGTTTTTGTTTCTTGAAGTTTAATCGGACTTTTAGTATATAAGAGATAACCATAATTGCAACAAATAGTACAACTAGCACCCATGAGAAAAAACATTTGGTCATTAATAAAAACAAAAGGAGATCAAATTTCATAGAAAAATTAATTCCATATGTTACCGAAGATCTCAGTATAGTTTTATACCCCAAAGTTCAAACATGCAAATAAAAGTCCTCGGCTTTTGTCCATGCAAGCAAGTCTTAAAGGACCACCTAGATGATTTGGGATAGGACATAAACGGCTTACGGATGCTTTTTCTTTAGGAAAAAAGTATATAGTTAGAAAGAATCTTTAAGCATCATAAAGATTATTAACATTTTAACATTTGAAAAAAAAAGATGCGGGCTTCTCTTTAATATAACTTTGCTTGCTAGCTACTACCCTATATGATTTGCACAGACAACAATCTGACTGCGCATAAATTTGTGCGAAAATTAGTTGGTCATAATATCAATGATATCAAACCGTGGAAAATAAGCCTTCAGCCTCTGCGTTGCTAAAGTTATGCTTGACAAGAAATCTTCTCGTTTCTTACAAGTAATATGCCCATGCTAATAGTAATATGCCTGTGCTAAATTCTACGGTGCAATTATATTTGTCTTTAATAATTTTTCAAATTTCATGTTAGCAAAAAA